TCGCCTTCGCGTACAGTCTGCGAAGCTGAACTGCGTACGCGGGGGATGATGAATCTTCCGACATCTTGTTGTTCTTTGCAAGATTGTGTTTGGTGAGCAAATGATGAGCCAAATTTTGGCTCATCATGAACCGTTTTTTGGTTCATCATAAGCCAAAATTTGGGCCATCTTGGCCTTTGTAAACGTGAGTGGTCCTTTCGACGCGTCTTTTTTTTTTTTGAAGAAAAAATTAAATGAATTGACGAACAAAATAGCAGCGCGTCTCGTTTCGCGCGTTTGCAAAGCACACGTGCTGCGACACAGCGTACGTATTTGACAGGGTTCTCCCCAATCCCCAATTTTTCCTCCTTGCCTTCAACCACCATGCCACCAAAGAAAAAAAATCAGACTACCTCTACTGACAATTTTCGTGTCCCAGGCACTCCCGCCACAAAACACGTTCAATCTGTGCGTCAGAGGGCCACCAAGGCAAAGAAGAAAAAGACCGTCGACGATACAGACGAGGACACCGATGTCGGCTTTGCTCAAACCACCTCCACCAATCCGCGCCACCGCAACATCGCGAAACAGGTCGTCGCCCACCATGGCACCCACGAAGCCATGGTCGCCGACACTGCGAACTTCGATACGCACCACATGCGGCCCATCGCGTTATCCAGCAAAAACAAACTCGTTGTTTGCAAACGATTCTTTGTCCAATGGTTCACCCAGTTCCTCGGAAGCGAAGACGCCGCTGAGGCGATGCTCGTGCCCAAGTCGCCATTTCCTCCTCTCGCGGCGTTGAAACAATACATATATTTTCTTGCAACCACAGGCAAGTCGCACCTAGGTATCGAAGGCGTGACGGGGTGGTCCATGCACACCACGCAAAAATTCTTGACCCGCACATTTTCAATGGCAAATGTTTCTGTATTTTTCTGTTCGTTTCTTTCTCACAACAATCTTTCCTCAGCTTAAGCGCGCCGGAGTCGCGGGACCCACGCAATACGATAAGGACCAATTGAACCATGTGAGCTAGCTGATCCTCTTCATTCACCCTTCGCCCTGACCTTCTCCTAGGCCGTCGCAACCTGGGGCTTGGAGGACGAGATTCTGAACACCCACAAGAAAACCAAGCGAATCATCCGTGAACACGAATTCCGGGAGCTCCTCGCTGCTTGCTTGAAACCCGGCTTCGCGATGAACACCAATCATATGGTAGGTCCTTCCCTCCCTTAGCTTGTGTTGGTTTGCCGAGCCAAATTTGTAGCGACTGACCATGATGGCTTTTGTCGCGTTTCTGTACACTCACGGAACGCGACCCAGTACGATTCTCGAGCTTCCAGATTACAAAGGTCTCGGTCAATACCTAAAGTGGGGGGTATGTTGTGTTGTCACTCGACCCTCTCGTCCGTTGCAATAATCTTCTTTTGCAGGACTCAGAGTGGGTCTTGACGGGTAGCGAAGAGGGAGCAGGAACCACAACGCAGAGTTTCTGGACCTTCCACTGGAACAAGGGGCAGCGCTCTGACAAATCCTTGATGTAAGATATCCCTCGTCCTCCGTGAATCCAGAGTCTCAATCCCAATCAGGGTCAAAACCACCATGCGGAATCTGAGCCGCGGGCGGATCGACATCGACGGCCAGCTCTTGCTTGAGGCTCTTGCCATCAAGGCGGGTATTTTTGAAGAAGATCTCTTGGAACTTCGCGCGAAGGATCCCAAAACTCTGAGTTTCCCAATCAGGTTGACCATCAAAGAGTCTGCTCGTGATCTTGCGGTCTTTCTGAACGCCAAGCGCGATGGACCTTTTACCACACCCGCTGCGCAAGCTCAAGCTCGTCGGGTCAAGAAATTTTTAAACTGGGACGGTAAGCGGCACATTTCTCAGAGCTTACAATCTGTCTCATTCACATCCAGACTTCACTCTGTACACAATGCGGTACAGCTTCGCTTCGGCCATGATAGACCTCATTCCCAAGGTGTGTGTCGTTCGTTCATGTGTAAGCCTTGACTGAATCAGTGCAGGCACATCTTCGCTACTTCATGGGCCACCACCAAAAGTCCTACCACGCCTTTACCACCTATCAGGCACCCGACAGAGGCATCGACGTGTCTGGCACTCGTTTTGGAGAGGCCAATGTATCCTCCGCCCAGCTATCTGAGGATCATTCTTCCGTTTCTTGGAATCGGCCCAACCCCGCTCCCAAAGATGAGGTTTTCGAAGACCCCCTGATGGCGAAGCTTGTGGCGGATTATGTTGACCTCGAGACTGAAGTGCAGAAAAAGTATGGTGCGGAGACTTCGTCGCGCGAACTGTACGAGTCCGGCGAGGTACGTCTCTCCTTCCGTATACAGATCTAATCATTGATTTTCATTCTCAGCACAATACTACCACTTGCGTCAGACAGGCCATTGACGCTTTGGCGCAGGCTTTGGAATACTACCTATCCCTTTCCAACGGGGTAAGTTTCGCCTCCATCTCAACGAGGGACGTGTTGAACATCTCGTCGTTCTAGTCTTATGCTTCCCTCCCGCCCGCTGCTGCATCCACCACCGCCTCATCGTCCAAATCAAATACAGTGTCGTCCAAGACATCCGCAGGTCCCTCCGCTACTGATGTGGAACCTTCCCCCACCCTAGTTCGCTCGATGATCGACCTCTTCGCGACTACCGAGGATAGTCACCCATTCCAGGCGCTGGTAGCCACCGAGCCAAACAACCCGCGACTTGCTGTACTCAACCGCTACTTGGGACTTTTGCAGTTTGATGACGCAGATCTGTGTGGCTGTTGCATCTACTGCCTCTCGAACGAGGACTTGGCGCCAGAGCAACGCAACAAAAAATACCCCAACTTTCTCCAGCACTTTATGAAGTGTGAACTCCAGCACAACCCGAACACCTTCCGTTGTCCGCTTTGTGGAGATCTGCTACCCGCCGCTCCAAAACTGAAAGGCAGCGAATTCGCCACTATCAGCAACGCGGTCGTAGACCCCGACATGGACGACGAGGAACGAGTAGCTGTACACGAGTCAATGTGCGCCCATCTCGAGGCATGCTATGCCAAATTCTGGGCGGTGTTGAGTGCAGAAGAGGGGGCAGAGGAGGACGAAGAGGAAGGGCTGGATGTCGATGGCATGCCGGTTGCTGGCGCAGCAGGACCTACGTCGTCGTCGGCAGCGGCACGTCCGTTGTCGCCTACAGCGTCAGCAGCATCGACAGTGGGTTCCGATGTAGACATGGACACGTCTGCGTCTCGATCCGCCTCGAGGACGGCCAGTCGGTCTGCATCCCGTAGGGGCTCTGTCGACACGGCTTTGCCCGCCCATACTCCCGCTCCTCCTACTGCGAAACCGGTATCTAGTGCTTCAACGGCTTCTTCCAAGAGTGTGTCGAAACGCAGCGTTCGGTCCGCGTCACACCACGACTCCGATGTGAGCATGGCAAGGTGTGATGAGCTATAATATATTGCGAGTATTTTTGTCCCTGATTCTCTTGCGCTTCTAGTGGTGCTGAGGACAGCGATGTCTCAATGCGGTACGTCCTTTTGACGAATGACTATCCCTTGCTGATCACCATTACAGGAGCGTCCTCTCCATCCGTAGCGTGGTCGGGTCGCGCCAGAAATTCAACACCGATATCGATGACGGCGGAGCGTACGTGTACAGTGCAAATCCAGTGTGACAACCATCCTCAATCCTTTCTAGCGGTGCTCGTGTCTTGAGTGTCGAGCTCGCTTTTACTCAGCGGTTCCAAGGTCGTGCGTACCGCACACAGACCTATTATTTTTGCCCAATAGATTTGTTCAATACCGACTTGCCTTGGCACGAGAGGTTGATGTGCGTGAGATCAACCCACTTTCACTTGCAGACAATCTGATTTTTCCACAGGCCGATGACCGATATCAACAAATTGATGATGCACATCGTCACGCATTATAACAAACCGTCTCAAAGGAAGGACAAGCACAACTGCGGTTTCCCCGCGTGCCAAGCTCTGGACGAGTAAGATTACAGTGCTCACGTTTCAAGGTGGTAGAACTGATAGACTGCGCAGGATGGCACTCCGTCCCTTCATTGAACACTTGCACAAAGTGCACGGCTATAAATTAATTCAATGCACTACGCATTGCGATGGCGACACTTGCGATCCTCAAAAATGCACGGTCGATCATCACGATGCAAATTGTTTCACGTTGCCCAAGAAGTTCCTGTTTCATGACGATGCTCGAATCATGGCGGATGAGAGGATGGGTAGCGCTCGTAAAGACCTCCCTGCCGCGACCTTGGCCGACTATCGCAAGCAGCCGTTCAAGAACGAACGCGCCCGAGATATTTTTGGGGAGCACGACATCGCAGAGGGTTTTACGCTGGATAAGCTAGTCAAACCATCGAAAAAAGCCGCCCCCAAGACCTCCAACCTGCCTACAATCGACCCCCAGACCCTCCGGCTCCAAACGTGTCTATTCGCAGTCAAAGAGAGACACGAGGAGTTCAAATCGCTGAACGTGAAGATGCTCACCGACGCTGGTATCTCGTTGGAAGCGCTGGCTGTCGTTAAGAGCAAGAACGACATGCCTGCGTGCGGTATGACGTGGACATTCGCCGCTTTCTCTCTCTTCATGCGTGCTGTCCGAGAGTGGTTGCAGGAGTCGGAAATAGAGGATTGTGTCAAGATGCTCACAGAGGCATATCCCGAGCTCGTGGCGTCTACCGTCGCCGCTTCTATCAACCGTAGCAAGCTCAAGTTGGCGGATCTCCACGAGATGACGGCCGACGACGCAAAGGAGTTAGGGTTCGACGTGACAGACCTGGTCTGGAATCGTATGAAGGACTCGATAGAGGCGTGGTCTGCAGAGCGTAGTGGCGCGGGGGATAATTAGAGCATAATGATACTGTTGTGGTTGATAGCACTTACATGAGCTGTCTGTACATCACAGTTGTTGACTGGTTGTCATGAATGCGAACGAAGAGTTGTACGAAGCAAAAGTCACGAACGCTACAAACCAAAAACCAAAAACGCTGACCCCTGCCTGGATTGAACAGACGACCTTCTGGAACCGAGAAAACTGGAATCAGATGTTATACCGCTAAACTAAGGGGCCATAACATTAGGTACAGAATCAGGGGTTACACCCAACCCAACACAAAGCTTGGAAGAATGCCTGCAAATAGCAAGACGTGTGCGTACAATTCCATGTGTATGTGACTTCCAATTCATCAAGTGGCACTCAGTACAGCAGCATCCGTCGGACAGCGGGAAGAGATCTGCCTTGCCAAACGTCCCAGTCCAATGTCGAAAGCATACAACACGCCTAGCGTTGCAGATCGGTTGCCAGGGTAGCGTGCGACAAGTAGTGGTCGGTTTTCGGTATCTCGAGGAGGGTCTTGGCGAAGGGAGGTGTAGAGTTGATGAAATTCGGGCGTCGTTTTTATTCCACTGATCCGGTAGGAGCTTCCAGAAGGTCGTCCGTTCAATCCGGGCAGGGGTCAAAGATCTCTTTTGTTCGCACTCCCTGAGGCTCAGTTTTTGTTCCCCATCCAGCGCAAGGTCCCTTCATACCCATACTGTCGAAAGAATCATCGTTCTGAGCACCCTTGATCTTTATATTCGCCAATCAAGACGAAAAGGTCCACTTTCCCAAAAAGGAAATTGAAGTTCGATGCAGCTCAAGGAGCCGAATTGTCACTGGTAGCGGTGCCGGGAGCCCCATGTAGCTCGAATATACTCTCAGTATAGGTCAGCGGACTACACATATACCCTAGTGTTTCAAAACTTCCAGCTCTACATTCACCAGAAAGTTTACTTCTCGGTCTGGGCTACTTACTACTTGTGGGAAGGTTCGGTTGCTCAACTTGCTAGATAAATATCTACTTCAAACCCTGAGTAGTCTGTACACAAGCTCTACAGCAGGCGTGCACTTGCCAGCGTTTCTGACTTCTGTTTTTGGTGCTCGAATTATTTGTCATCTCATTTGTTATTAGGCTCATGCCGTCGAATCGAATTGAGTATTTAGTCTCTTGTAGTCAAGTAACAATAAAGGTCCACAGCTAACAATCTTCCTCTAGGAGCATATTTCATTGGAGCTACGGAGGTGTGGCAAGGTCGTGGCTCAGTGGTAGGACACGATCACCATTGATCAACTCGATGGCTCAGTGGTAGAATGCGATCACAGTGATCAATTCGATGGCTCAGTGGTAAAACATTGTCACTGTATTGAAATACAGAGTGGTATCAATTCCTGCTTTCCATTCCGAAACAAGCGCTTAACAGCTAAAAAGTAGGCGGCAGGTACTGTATTGAACATATGGGCCAGTTGTCAAGTGGTAGGTCGACTCAAACACTACTGGATCAAGTCCTCTATCGTTGCTGCTTGTCAAACAGTAGATGACTCTACCTGTTCTTTCTGGCCTGCCATCTCTGAGTATCTCGCCGCAGGGCATTTCCTAGATTAATTTATATGAAGCGCTCGTCTAAGAGCTGTCATTATCCCGTATCCTCTTGTATAGATTAATGATAAGGTCATTAGCGGTTAGTGTTATGATACTGCAAACTACTCAGTCGCAGAACCGTGCGCAGAATAAAATTGCCCTACGTATGTGGTGCGATTCTCATGAAGTGTGCTGTCGACCCTGTTGCCATACTCATTTGATAAGAACACATTCTGCGAAACGGGAGCTTCCTCGCCTTTGTACCATCCGCGGAAACCTTCCGCTTTGGCTGTCTTCCAGAGACAATCTATTGGGTTCTTATACAGGGTGCCCACCAGCTGGCCGTTCGGTCCTACGACAGTTGGTTGGTTATACACCCGTGTTAATGCCTTGAAACTCGTCGATAATCATGACCATTGGGAATAGACCAGAGACTCACAGTGTCGGCAGGCTGCATCACGATGCACTGCAAAACAATTAAATCAACTGCGACGGTATTCAAAGGACCACGTAACGTACCACGCAGACACCCGAAACTGCGCTACTCGCGAGAAACGTCCACGCGCTGTTGGCCGGAAGGATATCGCGGCTCACCAGAAAGTTCTTGGTGAGATTATAACTCGGTAATTGCACCTAAGTCAAGTAAGCGAATCTGAAGCTCAACTTCCCAAGTGGACAACGCACGGATGAGCCCATTGACGTCCGTAGAATTGCCGCATCTATGCCGCGAACGAGCCCCCGCAATCCTTCGGCGCGAAATATCGTCGAAAGCGCGTGAAAGGAGCTTTTGTAGTGATGTTGGGCGCCGACAGGTAAAGCCGGGGAGTAAGCTTGCATTCGCGCCTTGATCAGAAACAGAGGGTTCCCGAGAGAGGCTGAGCGCAAATGAATATTGGACGCGAGCGTGATTCGGCAACAAATCACCGACCCCCGACAGCCCCGCTCGTCGCTCCAGCAATGATAGCAGTTGAACCTAGCTGCTCTTCAGGTCTCCGACCGATGAATTTGTTGATGTTTCGCCGGAATGGTTCGTAGAATCCTGGAATTCGCGTAAATGAAGCCGAATGGACATTCAAAATACCTACCCAGTCGTGAACCATTTAACAGTATCTAGAAGTATGGTCACGAAAATCAAAACAAGAATTAGAACGATATGCGTACTTGGTACGCATACTAAAGGCAACACGTTAGACATATGGCAAGGTGCATAGAATTGTAGCGACATGCCGCAGGGCCAAGTCCTCTCTGCATCCCTCGAATGCCCTCGTTCTTGTATGTCTTCCCCATGGCATCGAAGGCATTTTTATAAACCTTTTCCACCCCAGACTTCGCCAGCTCGCCCTGTAGCTGCAAACGGGTCTTGGCTACTTCGGCAGGATTGGAAACAGTGACCTGAAGCGTTGGTTAGTCAGATTTGTCCAAGCACCGAGAACACTTGTACTCAACGGCAATGCACGCAGCTATGCCGCCACACATAAAACCCTCCGCGGTGGAAAGCGGGCGACCCATGGCGGGCGGGGACGCCATTCTACGCGTGGTGAAGGTAAAAGGAAAGGCCGAACGGACGCGTTAATTTTCTGACATGAAGTAAAGCCGAAAGGACCGAAAGGGACTTGAAGTGTTGCTTCTTCACGGTCAACAGGGATGAACTCAATACTTGGCGATGAACTACCCAACTAGTGCTCAGACGGTCGTCTTCGTCTCCGTTCTCGCCGTAGTCCTCCCCGCCATATTCCGCATCGTCTCCAACCCCTTCACCCTCCTTCTTATCTCCCCCTTCGTTCTTGCGCTTCTGGGTATTGCTTTTCTCGTCCTCAATGTGCTTGTGAGCCATCTCCTCGATGCGAGAGCACCCCCAGCGAGGAATACTCTCCGTCATGCAGCCAGGCCCTTCGTGTTTTCAAGCCCGGCAGCCTGGCAGGCCGTTCTTACGCGCTCTCAGTGGTCGCAAGATAGTCCTCAATCATTCCCACCCCTGGTACCCAGCGCGCCTGTTCTTTCTGGTGCAATAAACGACATCCTCATTATGATTGTCCGGGACTTTGTACTCGTGTGGTACAAGGACATATCCGCGTCTCCGTCGTTTCCTATGGCTGTCTCGTCTGTGCTGCACAAATCACTCGAAAATCTTCTCGATCGCGCTGCCGGTATTGACTTGGCAGAGCTTATGGTCAAGCGTATCTTGCCCAAGGTCACCGCTCATATTGAGCAGTTTCGGCAGTCGGAAGTCGCTCTTCGAGGCGCTGGTTTGGAACGACGATTGACACAGTCCGAGGAGCTGGATCTTTTACTGGCTAGTCGATACTCGACTGCAGGTCGCGAAAAGCTGCACCCTAGTATCGACAACTTGTCCACCACGTTCACAAGGCAGACAGAAGAAGCACACCTCAGGCAGCTGGTGGCAAAAGCGCTTCCATTTGTTTTACCCAAGAATGAGGGACAGAGCAGGGTTCTGAAACTGGTAGTACGGGAGATTGTGGCTTGCGCCGTTCTTTATCCAGTCATGGAAATGCTCTCGGACCCTGACTTCTGGAACAAAGCCATCGACCAAGTGGTACGTACTCTAGACTCTTTGGGTGCTAAAACATTCCTCAACTGTTCGCACAGGCTGGCGCAGCGATACATGAGCAAAAACTGATCAGTAAAGTACGAAATGTTCTAGAAGCTCAGGCGCCTCGTCCTCACCAGCGGGTGTCCTCTTCGTCTTCCTCCGTTCCCGCGGGACCGACAACCGAGAAAATCACTATCCGAACAGACCCTCGGCATTTCGAGTCGTTTCTTCGCAGCATAAATCGGTGCTCGTCGCTCTTGGATGCCCGCCGCCTGAAGAATGATGTCGTGGGAGAGATCAGGAGAACTCGAGTATTACTTGGTAAGCCATCTCATTCCACTATCGACCCCTCGCACTCATATAGTGACTAGCCAATCACGAGAAGGAGGACTGGATCAACGGAGAGAAAACTGAAGACGTTGTTGCGTTCTTGGATAGACTCTACACCGCCAAGAGAAAGGTCGAGGACAGGATCATTGTACTCGGCGGAGGGGATGATTCGGTAGGGTTCTTTATCTCGCTCAAACTCGGCGCTGAACCGTTCACAAGGGACGACCATCGTCATATCAAGAGCCGGGTCTCAAGTCTGGTGTTACTTTGCGCGATGTTTTGCAGAACCCCAGTTCTCTGTCGTACTTCATGGAATTTATGGACCGCCGGCATCGGTCTCTGCTTGTTCAATTCTGGCTCACAGTCGAAAGTTTCAAGAATCCGTTAGAGTCTGTGGATTCGAGTTCATCGGGCGACGAAGACGATCCCATCCAGGACGCTTCCAATCTAGTCACCGTGAGGGAGGATATATCCATGATCTACGAGCTCTATTTTTCCACTCCAACTCCTCATCCCACGCTGGCCTCGATCCCAAAGAAGCACATACAACGAATACGAGACTTCGCGACAAGTAAGGAGGAACCGTCGCTGGCCACGCAGCGGACTGTACGCAGGAGCGTGATGTTGGTCCAAAGACAGGTGGAACGCAGCATGGAGCACGATTTCGAAGACTTTGAACGTTCGGAATTGTGGTTTCGCGCGATCGGGGACACCGATTTCGGTCGCTCCGTTCAGAGAAATACACCCGAACCCCCTGTTCCTTCTCTCAAGGATCGCCGAACCGTCACATCG